CTGCATTTCAAGATGGGGTATAGAATGTCAGACGCATGAATCAAGGAAAATTCAAAATTATCAAAGAAGAAATAAAGAATATTAAATTTGATGTGTTAGGAATAAGTAAATACAGGGCATAAGAGTTTACCAAAGAATTAAGTGGCAGAGATACTCAGAAAGAATATCATTTAGTATAATAGCAGTATAAATATATATTTGCAATGTCCACTTGTAATGGACAAGAATATTAAGGAATTCTACAGCAAATGGCAAGAATAGTGAATGTAATATAAAAAGGACTAATTAGTTGGAGAAATGGAAGAACCTGGAATCACAATAAGATTTAGATTGGACAAATCCAACAATTCAGAAGATGTAATAGATTTTTTTGAAGTTCTTCAGATTATGAAATAAGCCATGACTTATTGAAAATATACAGAATAACCTTAGAAAATTAAATAGAAAAGGAGCTTAAACTAGTTTTGACATGATGGCCATCCAGTCAGAATATAAATTCTTTGTAAGGAGCAACATTAGTATACTTATGCAAAAGAGAATCAAAAATGCGATGGGAAAAGATAACAGACATAAACATGAAAGATTACAGTCATGAACATCCCCAAAATTTCAAATTGGAGAAGATCAAAATCATTTCCAAAATAAGTTGTCATGATAGCCAAGAAAACATGTAAGGTGAGAGTAACAAAACATAAAACAAATGAATATAAATTTCCAATATGAAGCAAAAAGGTTTTAAGAAATGATCTCATTCAAGAATATTACAAACAAGAAAATAACAAGAAAAATGAGAAATGTTTTAAGAATATAAGAGAAACCAGAAAAAAATGCAGTTAGACTTATATACCACTTCATAGGGCTTTCAGCCCTCTCTAAGCGGTTTACAGAGTCAGCATATTGCCCCCAACAACAATCGGGGTCCTCATTTTACCCACCTTGGAAGGATGGAAGGCTGAGTCAACCCTGAGCCAGTGAGATTTGAACAGCCGAACTGCAGAACTGCAGTCAGCTGAAGTAGCCTGCAGTGCTGCATTTAACCACTGCGCCATCTCGCAGTGGTTAAACTTTATTCAAAAGTAATCTGATAGAGATGAGATTTTTTTAAAAATGAAAAGACTATACTTGAGCCCTTTATAAAACTTTGCAGAGAAAAAATATGTTCTGAAAGAGACTCCACTAGAAAGTGAAATACAGTGGGTAATAAATCTATTGTCAAGTAGAAATTCACCAGGTATAGATGAAAAATCCATTGAACTATTTAAAGCTACCAAAGAAGAGGCAGTTAATCAGTTCTAGACAACATATTTAAATTATACTCTGCAAAGTTTTATA